TTGTGTAAAAGTACATACCTTTTACCATCTGTTTTAATAGCTTTCACGCTTTTTTGGTTTCCATTTTGCCAAGAGCGACCTATGGTCCCATTTTGAAATATCCAAGTTTCATCGAGGAAGACAAACTGGTATAAGGCCTCAACCTTGGCTTGATTGTATTGCCTTAGAAATTCCACCCTTTTCAAAGCTATACTTGGTAGTTCCATGAGCCCTCGTCGCGGATTGTCCTTAAGCCACTTAAATCCAAGATCTCTAAGCAACCGCCTTAAAGACGTGGCACTACCATCAAATAATGCCCTATCTCTTAATCGAGACCATAAAGTTTGTATCGTAACTTGTTCTTCTGAAACCATGTGTAATATGACATTATAATTTAGTTAACAAATTAATGCAAATTTCTGATAAGTTATTATAATAAGATCTTACTTTTGTGATACATATTATAGATCACTTCTCGAATGGCACTTGATCCAATGTCGCTGTGTTGGTTACACGTTTAATATAACTCCGCTTTTTCTTGGGCGATTCTAAATTTGCATCACTTTTCACACCCTCGGAAATACGACTAACTGTCCTTAAACTAATTTTTAAAGCAGCAGCAACACGCTACAAAAAATGAAATAAAATTTCACTATTATTAATATACATTACATATAATTATTAGTAACCTACCTCTTGAACAGCATTTAAAGGCAACAAAGGCCCGTTGTTGTCCCTTTCTTGCTCAAAGTAGTGCATTAACGAGGCCACGAGTTCCTTACACCGACTATTTAACTGTTTGGGCATCTTTATATACCAAAATTGCCTTTATCTACTCGTAAAATGAATAATTTTGTTTTGAAACAAACAGTTGTTGATTTACAGCATGCGGGGCCAAAGGATTTATAAAGATTTGAAATGCCACAAGTTGATTCAGTGTCAAAATTAATACAAATGTCAGTTCCCAGTTTAAATAAGTTTCAAGGTGACAATGTGTCAACGCTGCGAAATCGGTTTAGTGCGTTTACATGTCGATAAGTGATTGGAGCGTTTGCAAAACATTTTATTTCGCATAATGCGTCTAAATTTATCAGAAAGCAACTTATGTGATATTTTAATAACAATGTTTATATGACTATTAACCATAATAAGAGAGTAATGACCATTTTACAATTTATATATCACATTAATATGAAACTGCAATAGAGCAATTGTTTGTGATAGAAACCTAGGCATTAGGTCGGGAATTTTTATCGTGATGACGTGCACGCCACTTTGTTTGGCGTTGACTATAGTGTATGGCATCCATATTACCAAATCTATACTGATGAAATTGAAAGTGTACAGAGAAGATTTCTTAAATACTTGACTTTCAAATTAGACATTTTATTTTTCCCAATCGGGGACTCCCCAATCAGCGATGTTGCTCAGATTTGAAATGCATCCTCTTGATTTGAGAAGAGTTTGTAATAGTTTAAAATTCCATTACCAACTCGTACACAGCTTTATTAGCTAAAATTGATTTTCATGTACCGTCCCGCATTTCCCGAAGATTTCTCGCTTTTTACTTAAAAACACCAAATTCTAATGTTATGATTAAGTCACCCGTGTACTTTATCTGCTCTAGCTTTAACAGCATAGCTGATAATTGTGACATTCATCATGATAAAGACAAAGATATATTAGCTGTATTCAGCGACTACTATTATTCAATTTATAACATTTAAGACATGTACGTGAGTCGGTGTAGCTATTCATTTTTTTCTTTCATTATTTTTTCAGAAACTGGGCGAGCTATGATTCGAGTTAAACATACTTTAACGTCAAATTGTATGTATTTAATTACATTGTCCTTTAAATGGATATATCTGTTGGCCAACAAATATATTATTATTATTATACAAAAACCGAAGTTTGAGCGACTTTTATTTTTTTCTATTTTTTTTTTTAATTTCTCTTCGTCGCCACTAGTCCGATTTTTCAAAGCTACAAAGCTTTTACATCCTTGGCAAAGTTGTAACCTTGCGTGAAAATCTCATCAAAATCCGACCAGTACTTTCCAAGGAAGTGATTAACGAACAAACAGACAGACAGAGTGACATGGTTTTACAATACTTCCTCGCCGGTAGGCGTGGTAAGTAAAAAGTGCAATTGTTAAGCCATCCCTCCTATCACCGACTTCGTTTTAAGGATTGAGCGTCAAGTATCAATATCGGTTGTGTTATAACCTTTAGTGTTGGCAAACAGGAGCAGCGGTGACGTAGTAATCAGCTTTACTAGCGCTACTAGTAACTTCTTTTCCTTCCCAGTCAACAGAAAAGGTCCAACACAATGCAAGGCGACCTGTTGGTTATCAGAATATCAATACTTTGCTATTCCGTGCTCCGTTATCGAACGTCGGTGGTTATTTTCCTTAATCACGTACTCTATTTAAGGATTAGCTATTTTTAAACAAGCAATTTCCCTGCCATCCTGCCTGCCCAGCAGCTTAGCATTCAAACGGATGCTTTTTTTAGACATATCACAACGGACGGCCCCGATTGGAAAAAATATTATTCCATAAATATTCAATCGCCACGATGAGGGACATCATCAAAATTGATCAAAAATATTATTACCTTCGGATCCTTTTGCTACGCACAAACAAGATTGACGGAGGTCGACGGATTTAATAATAGCTTGAGTAGACGAAACAGGAAAGATATGAAAAAATATGGAAAAAATTGCAGTGTGTAGTTCAACTTTGATAATTTTGGAATAATCAGTGAGCTACTTGGTCGTAAGCAATCCAAGCCAACTTGAATGAAATTATACACAGTTGTATGTGACATATATGTGTTTATTTTAGACACTAATACATACTAATAAACTTAAATAAACTAATACATTCTACATAACTACTTCCATTCCTACCAATCGTAGGTGTTTGAGAAATAAACAAAATTTTCCGTCAGCTACAATGGTATGTCACACACGATTTAATAAAGGTAAATAAAAAGGCAACGCACTATTTTAAACAGAAGCATGTCCAGATTAAAAATGCGTGTTCAATGATAAGCCTGACACTCAGACTCGCTGGCAATTGTTTGAAACCCTTGACACGTTTTTTGAAGTTTACCTTCAAGTTAGAGACTATTTCTACACGATATTTTACTGTCATATGGTTCTAATGGAATCTTTTCTGAAATACCAGGAAAATGCCTGGTATCGCCATCGATTAAGTTTTGTTCCCAAAACTCAAGCTTTTGGATACACGCTTTTATATCAGAAATCATTTCTGGTAGTTCTTTGTCTCTCTCATGAAGTAATCGAGATCGTTCTCGAACAGATCGCTCGCCGCAGTGTTGCCGCTGCTTGTGTTTATTATGAGAATTTACAAAATTTACGGAAGCTTCTATGATTTTTACACCTTTTCAAAATATACTAAGTGACATATAAATCCGAACGACCAGTTTAAATGGTTTTATTTTAATAAAATTTTGTATAAGTACTTAATGAAGCATAATAAGTAAATGATAAAAATTTCAAAATGATTGCACTGCTTTAAAGCCCTTTGACCTTTAATAATGTGTGGATGCACCCTGATGTGCTACGCATTCTCCAACGCGCCTAGGCATGCTTCTGTTCAGGTGGTCAATGTCCTCCTGTGGTATCTCATTCCAGGCAACCACCAACTCCTCTCGAAGTGCTTCTAGAGTCTGAGGAGGACGTTGCAAATTGAGCAATCTCCTACCCATCATATCCCACACGTGCACAATTGGGGATAAGTCGGGAGATCTTGGTGGCCATGGTAACAATGTGACATCATTATGTTGAAAGAAGTCTATTGTGACTCTTGCAACATGTGGTCGGGCATTATCTTCTTGGAAAGTTGGATCTGCCAGGGTGTCAAGATAGGGTAAAAGATGGGGTTCTAGAACTTCGTGGATATAACGCTGCGCGTTCATGTTACCTCTGATGAAGATTAAAGGTGACCTGGAACAATAAGCTATAGCACCCCAAACCATAACTCCAATAGTGTGATGAACATGTCTTTCAACAAAAAACTGTGGATTCCTCCTTTCACCACGTCGCCTTCTAACCCTGGCACGACCATCGTGCATGCCTAAACCAAATCGAGACTCGTCACTAAAGACAATACTGTTCCATTCCTGATCCCAGAGTGACCGTTGTCTGCACCACTCAAGGCGAATACGTCGGTGTTCTCGAGTTAAAGGGAGGACCCAGTGTGGCCGGTATGAAAACAAGCCAAAACTTCTCATTCGTCGGTAAACACTTCGCATGCCAATAGGTCTTCCGTGTTCTGCAAACCATTCATTTGCAATGGAACTGGTAGTGGAGAAACGGTCCCTTAAGGCCAATAATCTTAGGCGGCGATCTTCACGGTCTGTTGTTCTACGGCGGCGTCCAGTGCCCCTTGCTCTTTGCGTACGGCCTTCTCGAAGCCATGCCTGACAACACCTAACCACAGTGTCTACACTTCCTTGCACTCTAACTGCAATTGCCCGAAAAGAAAGTCCAGCTTCCCGAAGTCCCACTATACGGCCCCTATCAAACTCACTAAATTGACGAAATCGTACAGGTCTCCGTACTCTAGGCATCGTAACCGATCGTAAAGGATGTCAAGAACCAAAATCCGCCAACGTTGATTCTTTACTGCGGCTGAAATATTCATTTTTAGAGCGTTAGTGAATTAAAAAAAATCAGTATAAAAACCGGAATGTCCAACTGATAAGGCTGAAAATTTTACTTGTTATTTACAGTAAGATAAATACACTCACCAACTTTTATTAAAATAAAACCATTTAAACTGGGTGTTCGGATTTATATGTCACTTAGTATATGTTGTGAGGCACCAGAATTGCCTTTGAGAGCTACCGCTAGCTGATATAGATGATAGATAATAGATGGCGCTATAAAAAATTTCCACTGTCAAAAAAGTGACATGTATAAGTTTTTACAAGTTTCTTCAAGACCTCAGAAGCCTACCCTTATTACTTTGTCCTTTTTGCTTGTTCCAGATGGCTCCCCAGCACCCCACCCCCGTGATCCGAGCGGTACTCATCCTGCTGACTCCAGCCACGTTCGCGTACCCGAGCGCCATCTACGGCAGTAGCGCAAACAGGTACAGTCACGCTCCGCGCAGACTTCGCGCGGCCTACGAACCACCTGCTTACCCCTCGTACCAGGCGCAGCCGGTCATAGGCCCCAGGTACCACCCGCTAAGCTACTACAAAGTATATCCTTACAGCGACACGTACAACGCCCAGCAGGACGATACGTACTACTATCCGCAGGAAGCAGGAACGTCGTACCCGATGTACTACCCGAGGACGTCCAAGTACGAGGTGTACCAGGCGATGTTGCCGTACTATTACACGGTAAGATGGAAAAAATGATAATAGAATTTTTATAATTAAATTTACGTGACACAGAATTGAAATCTGGCATTACAATTAGAAAAATAGTTATTTCTAATTTAGATAATTGACACTGAGAGTGTTCACGATCGGTAATGCTGTTGATTTCAAAGAAGAATTTTGATACATACATTGTTTTTCCTTTTTAAACCCACACTGCACTTTTTTATGTATTAGTTTCTTCTTACTCTAGTTGTTCATTTATTACTTCAGCCGCATTAAAAACAAACCAACAGGTCCGATGCCTGATAACTAACCACTATTACCGTTTGCGATCGATTGCCGGTTCGATAAGAGTGATGACGACGCGCTGTTGTCATGTGTGATTTAAATATTTAATTTATGAAACTTACTAACTACAAATTTTGGCTTAACTTAGAAAAACTTAATGCCATTTATTTGTTAATTACCCAATTTAAAAGCGTTTTAGATCAGATTATAACAATCAGTAAGATCGTGGTCGATATAAAGCACTTAAAGTTTTAAACTATAAAGCCATTCAGACAAAAATCTATTGACTTTTGGACCATGGGTCAAATGAACTTTTTCACTTGTTTTGATCTCCCCTATTACCCATTTCGATAGTGACTACCATAAAGTTTACACCCTGTATAACATTTAAAAGTAAGGGGCATTTTCCATATTCCTAGAAGCAAAATTACAAATTGCGGTTTCACTTTTCGTTCGCAGGACACGCCTTACGGAACATCCTACGACTACGACCCAGCGGCGGAGCTCCAGGAGGAGATCCAAGAAGCCGAACGAGAAGAAAGGGAAGAAGCACAACCGATCGGTCACGAATCATTCTACGAAAACGACAACGACAACTCTCAAGACAACTACGCGGAAGTAAACGCTGCCTTCCTGCAAAATCTCATCCTCAGCCAGATGTACCAGGACCAGATGGCCAAGGAGAAGCAGCAAGTGTACCAAGAGAAGGGCATACCTTTTAATGGCTACTTGGACTACGAAGATAGTTACAGCCAAGCGAACGACAAGCAAAGTTACTTGGAATCTGACACCACGACAGCGGCTAGTGAAGACGAAGACGTGAAAGAATTGAAGCAGTTGCCTAAGCAAAACAAGAACAGACAGCATAGGAAGCAAGGGAAGAATGGTAACGATCTGCACTGGTCGCAGAAGCAAGGCAAATCTAACAGAAGGAAGCAAAAGGAAGAACAACCTACCAAGAGAGATTCCAATGACTTGGACTATTTCCAGGATCCTTATCATGAAGCTGTGGTCTTCACAGATAGAAAGGCGGCAGTCAAGACTCTTGATACAGCAGCAGGAGTGACCAGTACTCCCGAGCCTCTCTTGAAAGGTAATGTATCTGATTCCGTGGTAACAGATATTCCACTGTGATTAAGCAATTGATATTTCTTGAATATTTATGATTTCTGAGAATCTTAACAATTTTCAATATCGAACTTTTTTGAAATTTCGGAAATTTGATTCTTGCTGTCATTTGTCTATTTCTTGTTGTAGATTTCAGAGGCCAGAAAGAAGAATTCCAAATGAGACCAGCAACGCCGGTGAGGCATCCTTTTGCAGCGCCGGTCCTCACCATGCTGTCAAACAGGGAAGAAACAAAACGAAGAACGCCTTCAGTCTATGACACCATCAAACACATGCTGGACATGGAGAAGAGTCTCGAAAATGTAAGTTGCATTTCGGAATACGTAAAAGTATTAGCAAAAAATGGTGAATGTGCGTGGTAAAGATCCGTTCGCACATCACCATTTTTGAAGACTCGGCATGGAACGTATGTATCTACCGCAATTATTAGATGTCCCTCTAAGTATGAGAATATGTGGTTCCTACATGATGGTTCTCCACAACATTTTAGATTAGAAGGTCATGAACATCTAAATAATGAGTTTCCGAACAGAATGGACCCATTTTTTGGCCTGCTCGCTCCACGGATTTAACGCCTTGCGATTTTTTTCTGTGGGGCTATTTGGAAGAGTCGGTGTATCATGATGGAGCAGTAAATACTCATTATTGGCCAAGCACCTTTATATGTTTTTCTCCGCGCCTGCTCAGCCAGCGTCCATGTCTGCTAAGTTTCTTTACAGAGGAAACTGATGTAGATGAACTATGGCAGTTGTAAGCCACAACGGTGATCCTCATCAAGGTAAAGTGATTGAGATCAAGGAAAAATCATGATATACACACCTTGCTGGAGAGGTACACGTATGCCATAGGTATTGTCAAAAATGGTGGATGTGCAAGAAAAAAGATTCGTTGACACATTCACCATTTTTGTAGACCTGACATGGAGCGTATGTGTTTACAGTGTTTTCTTTAATGTCAACATACGCTTTGATTTTTTGAGCGGATCAATCCAAAAAAATAAAACCTGAAACCGGGGGTCTTGTGGCACATCATTTTGAAGCTCCTGACGAGTACTTGATAACCCTAAAATATAAAGTCAATACCTTTACCTGCTACAAAGTGGTGGTACTTTTAATAATTACCTGAATACATTTACATTTAAGATACGTTAAGTTCAGTTCATACGATGCTGGAAATGGTTGCCTTGAACTTGTTGACACAACAACAGCCGGTCCGTAATTTCGCGTCGAACATTTTCAAATATAGTATTTCTACAAACATTTGTTATTCTCAGCCGTATATCCAATATTGAAGCAGGCTCAATTTCGTACACCTTGTTCTTCAAATAGCCCTTTTAAAATTGGTCTAAAGGTGTCAAATCTGGCGAGCGAGCTGGCCATTCTACGGGACCTCGACGGCCAATCCAATGACCGGGGAAATTGTTATCTAAAGAATTCTGGGGTCATCTTCAGTTAGCTGATGTGCCATTTGGATTTTGTATGGATGATACAAAAGTCTCCATACAGTAGAAGGACAAACCTCACATAAATTCGCGGTGGAGGAAGTAGACTGTTGGGGATTTACTATGATCTCACCAATTATTTCAACTTGCTTTTCTTCCGGGATGGTCGAATGACCTGGGGGTTTTTTGTTGTTTACACTACCAGTAGCTGTAAATTTAGATACAAGTTACCTTAAATATTTTCTACAGAAACGGGAAACGGTCATTAAAAATCCTTTCGGTCTCGTGAAAGTTACGCGTCGCACCATAAATAAAAATCGCTTCGATTTTTTCTTCCAATGGAAACGAATTGACCATTTTAAAAATAGTATCTAGCACTAAAACCGAAAACTAAATAAGAACATTTTAACTGTACAATGGTGTTTGTTTTCGTACTGATATTCTTGTCACTGTCAACAAAAAATAACAAAACAAGTTTTTATCGCTGTTGCTGCGTGAATTGATCCGTTCACAGAGCGACAAGACCGCCATTTAAGACTTCCGGCTCCGAGAGACAGATTCGGTAGTACTCGAGCCATTGCTAATCAGTAGTTTGAAGAGCATGGAAGGACGGTTGGTATGCGTACTGCATATCACCGAATACGGCAGTTTGTTTGGGGGAGCTTCTATCAGCTCTAATAACCTTAGCCATTTCAAAGGTCTTTAAGCTTCTCATAGCAGCCGCGGTCGGCGCTCAGGGGTTTAGGCTTCTGCCCACGCGCCTGTTTGAGTATATATAGAAAAATAATTGTGTTTTATAGCTATGCCGTTAAAGCTATAAATAGATTATGAAAGTGATAATAAACTGTTCCGCCCACTAGATTTATGCAGATCGTCTTCCTACTTTTACAAGCACCGAAGGTCTTGAGAACCAAAATAGATTTATCGAATTTATAATTTTATAATCCAGCAAGTGGTTTTAGTCAAACTGTGTATAGGGATTAAAAGATAATTATGTTAACATACTAAAGGGTGGTTTGCGGCAAGATAAACTACAGTATATTCAGATAAGAGATAGACCGGACATAAACAAGACCACGTGATCATCGAACGCTGTAACATTCGGCAGGGACGTATTAAGAGTCACTCAGTACATATTTTAGATAGTAGATGCTGCTTTGCGTAACTTTGTAGTAAATTAGCACAATTCGATGTGTATACGATTGGTGATGGATATAGGATCATGTGGGGGTGGGGTAAGAAATATATAATGATGTAAATATACATAAGGGTTTCAAAATTTTCTCTTCGATTTCCAGCTTCGGATGCCGCCTGATGTTTGGTGAAATACAGTCGAATATAATCTCAAAATGGCGTTTAAATTAGCCTAAATTAAAAATAATCGTATATCTCTTAAAATTGCTTTTAGAATATTGATTAGTATATTTTTTGATTTCTAGGTAAATATGTAACCAAATTAAAACGTTCAAAACGAAAAAAAATGTGCATGGTTGAACATTGTCAGAAAGTAGATTCTTGAATAGGTTTTGCCAAAATGGGTTCAAAAATGTCAATAATTAATTAAAAAATACAGTAGCTTTATAATTACTTATAACTTACCGAATTTGATGAACGACATCTTTTATTGGAAAGATGAGCTTGATGAGCTTTCATCATCGCTACTGCCTGAAGCACCAACGTCAATAATGAATGGCTCGACTTGTTCCTCTAAAATATTGTCCAGTTCCCACATTCTCTTTTCAACTTTGTCTTTCACGTGCTTAATACAGTTTTCCCATTTTTGCGCTGTTATTAATTCTAGTGCTTCTTTGAAAAGTCCTTTGAGGTCACAAAATTTAAAAGTTGTATTGTGCTTAGCTATATAATTTTTAACCTCTGCCCATATGAGCTCAATGGGATTGAGCTCGCAATGGTATGGAGGTAAACGGAGCACAGTTTTATTTTGACTTGCTGCCATTTCGTCAATGGCGTATTTTTGATATTCCGCCTTGTGATCCTTGACAATTCTTAATAATTGTACTTTCAGCATTGCTTCTTCAAAGTTGATATTTTTCGAGCGGAGCCAATTTTGAACATCAACTTTCCTTGAAGCCGTTGTTGGGAAATTCTCCATTCTTCGAGAATGATAAGGCGCATTATCCAACACAATTACTGCGTTTTCGGTAAAATTTTTGAAAACCACTGTTCAAACGATTCGCCAGTCATTTCCTCGTGGTAATCTCCAGTTTTCTTAGACTCAAAGCACCACAGACCGTCAACAACAAATCCATCCTCACTGCCAATATGGCAGATAATGAGCCTTTTCCCTTTACCTGGAAATCGAAGTACTAACTGGTGTAGATTTATTTAAATAAGCGAACCTTTTTCAAATGTTTTCATCACATTCAGCGAAAAAACATTGAGACATGAGTATCAGATTGCTATAATTGGGATTATTTAGTCATATTGAAAGAAAGAATATTGAACGTCGTATGATTACTCAGCGCTTCACAATTTAATTTAAAGTTATAAACCTTTAAAAAATGAATGATCAGGAACCTGAAATACGCGCAAATATTAATATTAACAAATTATAACTTTATAAAGCTTAAAGTATGAATTAAAATGATTAGAAATATTAGGAACGGTACACAATATAAAACTTAGTAACTTTTTTTAAGTTTATAATATTCGACATATTTTAAGATTATATTAAAAAATTATTGAAATATCGAAAACACATAAAAACAGGGCTTAAAAAAGATCTAACAAATGAAAATGACAATAAAACATCCACGCATTTTATCGAAAGTTATAAAAGTTTTGTTACTTGTAATATGTTTTATCTGCCCCCTGGAATTAATGTTTAGAACCTTGTTCCCAAGGTTTGAAAAACATCCGATTGTTGTCTATTACTCGTATTTACCTGCTGGATTTTTTAATCCGGTGGACAGTCCATCTAGAAAGGCCCTCCTGGATGAAGTTACAGAATCATCAACCCATACTTTACTTGTAGTGTGTTCTGCGTTTACCCACGTTTCATCAAGATAATAAATCTTCCTGTTTTGATTTCTATATTTCCCAATTTTTGTTAAATAATCCCTCCTCTATAGCACAATTTCTTCTCTATCCAGTAGTAAACTATTACGACCCCGTTTTTTCCATTTGAAATTTAAATGCTTCAGTAACGCATGGAAAGTTGATCGTTTGAAATTTGGCAACGTTGTATCTCCATTTACCTCCTGCAGTACTTTATCTATAGTAGGTATTTCATTCCTAAAGAAGAATTCATGCACTTTCCTCCTAATCGCATGCTTATCAGCTTCATCCAATGATTTAAAAATACTTTTCCGATGTTTACTGATCATTGGCTCAGAAAAGGTGTGATTTTTTTTGTATTGTCTTAACACATTAAACACTGATGCGCGACACACCCCAACTTTGTGAGAAACCTTCACAACAATTTCTTTGATGGTTGATGCCTCGTTCTCCTCGCGCTCGATCTTATATTCAAAATGACCTCTTTCATTTCTGCACTCAGGTGTCTTATTTTAGAGCGTTTCCTAGGTGGACTACAGGAGTTTACAACTTCATCGGCAGTATCTGTACTACTGGGCATTTTGCGCAAGCAGTTGATAGCAATAACATCAATAACAAGGTATAACAATAACAACAACAAACTCAACAACTTAATAAGATAACAAACGAAAACGTCCAAAGAAATATCAAATTGCAATGATGCACACGACATACGTAACACGTCTGAACCTGAATGTGACTCTGCCTTGATACGACTGCTCTGCCGCTCGGCATAGGCATTTAATTGCGAATTGACCAATGAGGGCTCCTGTTTTACGTCGAGACGGCGGCGATAGCGTGAAAATCACCCGAACCTTCTGTTTACATCCGGTCTATCTCTTATCTGAATATACTGTAGTGTAT